CTCCCCAAAAAAAGCAAAGAAGAAAAAAAAAAACAGCTAATTATGGTTTCGATAATTTCTTTTTACTTTAAGAAATGGGTGTTGTTTGGTTTCAAAGAATTTATTTTTTAAAAATAAAGGGGGAAAAAGTTGAAACAAAACACAAAACAGGAATTGAGGGTGAAAAAAAAATATTTAAAAATGTTTAATGTTATTAAAATAATTCTTATCCAAGTGAGATTAAGTAACACATAAATACTAAGTCTTTAAGCAACTTTATAATAACATAAAGGTAGACGTGCCTTCAATCCTCCCATCCTTATGCCTGACATAAACATTACTCTGTTAAATAAACTTAATACAAGAAAAAAATATGTACATTTGTGAGAACTTGTGATTAATTGTTTACTGCTTAATAAATATAGACAATTCTAAAAAAAAAAAAAAAAAAAAAAAAAAAAAAAAAAAAAAAAAAAAAAAAAAAAAAAAAAAAAAAAAAAAAATAATAACATAAAGTGCTCGATTCTCTCAATCAACTAAAATTTTGAGTACTCTTATAGTATAAATTAAATATATGATAGTTTCGATATAATGTACAAGAACAAGACGCTAACCCCTAGATTAAGTGTAGGATCTTCTATTTGATAAATTATGTTTCTAATCTGCAGTATGTAAGGTAGCAAACAGTATTCGACTTAAGATTGAATATTTATTTGATGTCGTTTTTTTTTCATTAAGTAGTTGAGTACGTTTGTGTGTAGATTCACGACGATTTCTGATACTAGACTGACCTTTAAAGTCTGCAGTCTATCAAGTCTTCATAATGTCTGGTATCGTTTGTTCTGGTGGGAATAAAGACAGTTCGCTGATCTGTAGCTACGGCAAACAGAAAACTCATGACTTGTCCATATAATAAACAGTAAACTATCCTGACTTATCCAGATGATAAGCAGTAAATTATCCTGACTTATCCCCACCAGCAGTAAATTATCCTGACTTATCCCCACAAGCAGTAAATTATCCTGACTTATCCCACCAGCAGTAAATTATCCTGACTTATCCCGATAGCAAGCAGTAAATTATCCTGACTTATCCCCACCAGAAGTAAATTATCCTGACCTCTTACTATCAGTAAATTATCCTGACTTATCCCACAAGCAGAAAATTATCCTGACTTATCCCCACAAGCAGTAAATTATCCTGACTTATCCCACTAGCAGTAAATTATCCTGACTTATCCCACAAGCAGTAAACAATCCGCCAGCTAACCAGCGGCTGATTGAGGATTGAGAATGATTGGAAGAAACTAAAACTGATTACAAATTTTCTGGTGGTGACCCTCCCGCCCCGCCCCTGCGAGATGGCCGGCCAGCACCCCACAATATCCTTGATTATTCGCCCCGGGCCGGGGAACGCCGGTGATAAACTGTGTTTCAGGGACTCAGTGCCACTTATTCTGTCATCTAATACTCATTACTCTAGCCCTAGTTTCACATATGCATAATCAAATATGGCTAATTTGGTTTGTTGATTGGGGGCATCACTTGCTTGTCTATTTGGGGGTGAATAAGAATTAATGTGTACGTACTAAGAAAAGTGCTCTCAACTTTTTAAACTTATCTTCTTACCTGAAGAGTATTGGACTTCAGTTTTGTTGGCTACCCACCGGTATGTATGTTAAACATACATACATATGGATGTTCTGTCCTAGGTCGATTGCTCTACCCACTCAAAAGAACACTGGCCTTGTTGCCCTGCTAGACATAAAAAGCAAATCTATTTATATCTAGCAATGGCAACAATAGTTTCCCATTACGTCATGTTGACTAAAACAAATGTTATACTTTATATCTGCGTAAGGTAAAATATATAAATATATCAAATTATTTTGATAGAATTTGAAATTGACTTGTGACTAGTTTTTTTTAGTTACATGTTTAAGCTCGCAATGGTAACAATTACAAATCGAAAGCGATGTTGGTTTATATTTAATCTGATTCTAAAGTCATGACAATAAAAATAATATTGACAGCCCCTTTTCTTTCAACAATCTTTCAGACATCTCATAACGTCCACCTATCATTTATTAAATGTCTCCTAGCACGAAGTATTTTTCAAAAATACAACTCTTATCATAATTATCTTCACTCTAACTCTATATATATTTCTCTTAGCTCTATCTAAATATTCACTCAAATACACCCTGGGAACATTTCCCCTCACAAAAAAAAACAACACATCTCTAAACATCTTCTGTAACTTCAACATCTCCACAAAAATCAATGATTGCATGATCGCCCTAACACTAGACATAAACTTACAAAATCAAAATTCTGATCCCCATACTCTCATCCACCTACAAAAATAAATTCAATTTTTTTTCTAGCTTGTTATCTTCTGTTTGATTTGACGAATACAGGGGATCTAACTCCGTCAGCACGGTGACAGAAAATCGCAGGCAACTGCAACAATATTAGTTTGTAACATCCCCAAACATGAAACACTTTCTTCCATCCTATTCTATCGCTATCATTTAACACGGCCAGGAAAAAATCGCTCGTTCAGGAAAAAAAATATTTATTGCCCTCAACTTACATGATACGAATATAATTGCAAAAAGCCAGGGTTGGGATGGAGGGGTGGGGCGAAGCTAGCAGACGAAGAATAAGTTTGCTCCTGATAGCCTCGGCGTTTGATTCGGCGATAAAAGGGTCATGATGTCGAGCCAAATTTGCTGTGTTAATCTAGCGTAAAACGCAAGATGATTTCGCAAAAAAATAATTAATCGCGTAGTGGGGATACGAATATTGATTCGATGATTGGGTTGGGTTTATTTTTACGTGGAAATGGGAATGTTTGTTAATTATTTTTTATATAATTAAAAAAAAATGGGCCTATATATTTTTAAAGTAAGCCATCTTAACATGTCTTAGAAAAAAAAAAAAAAGTTGAAGAGTTTAACCAGTTTATAATTTTAAAATGTAGTTGATTTTACACTTTTTTAATCTCATGTGCTAAACGCTAGATGAAGTAGAGTTCTTCAGTATGGCCGTTTTAGCGGAAATAAAAATAAATATTGTTTACTTTGAACGCGACCAACTTTAAGGCTATTATAACTACAATTTATTGTCCGTGATTTTAGCAGTCCAGCTTTCATGATATTATGACCCCAGGTTATTGACTCTGAATACTACTCAACAGCTTCTAAGGGTACATATTTAAAGATGTCAATACATTATGTTGACTGTGCTTCGAATTTGTTTTATATTACACTTTTTATATTCAACCGATTAACTCTACTTCACCTGCCTTTTTGATCCTCGAAAAGACAGCTCACTTTTACGTCAATGTTGAATTAATTTTTTTAAGGCCTAACGCTTGGGTCTGTATGAAGTTAAATCTGAGCAAGTCTGGCCCTGTATTCCTCCTCGGTAAAAGATTCCAAAGTTCACGAGTTGTTCGACCAAGTTCCGAGTAGTGCGACTTCTCACACAAACAACCTTTGAATAATTCAATCAAAATTTGATGGAAGAATTCTAAGCCGGGTGTATCTCAACCCCCACCCTCGCCCATGTTAGATGTTAAGTCTCTACCCCCCCCCCCGCCACTGTTAGAGATGTTAACTCTCCCTCTCCCACCCCCTGTTAGAGACGTCTCCCCCCCCCCCCCCCCCTCCTGTTAGAGATGTTAAGTCTCCCCTTAACTCGAAGAGACGGCCGGAGATCAGGAAATGGAATGTACGCCGATGTCATCCCACTCCACAAACTAACCGAGGGGAAATCAGCCTCACCCCCCGGGACTGATATACCTTTTGTATTGAATTATTACTTGGTAGCGGGAAGAATAAATCGGCGTTGATACCATCAAATCACGAGTCATTTTTTCTGACTCTTCTATCGGCGTCGTGACGCGGAAATGTAACAAAAGCGACGGGTACCGAAACGAAGTTAAGAAAATGAGTTTAGATATTCACACAACTTTTACTGAGACCCTAGAGTTACCTCTCATGCCTCTCGTTAAAGGGAAATAATTAACACCAAAGTCAAACAGTAGATTAGGAAAAACAAATTACGCACCATAGACATAGAATTCTTATATGAGTTTTCATATTTAAATTACAATAATCTTAACGCGTGGAAATAATGAATTTTTCAGATCATGCATATGAAGATAAAATTATTTTTAAAAATATAGGATTGAAATTTAAATGAAAACGTGAGATCTGACTTTTCTAGAATTAAGCGATTGACCATGAAATACGAATCAGCTGTTGTGGGTAATGCCTTGACCAATATTGCTGTCAGTTTCTCCACAATAAGCCTTGATTGCGATGTCTTCTACAAGCAAAGTAGTGTGTGTAGTTTTTAAAGATGACTGTGTCAACTCTTTCATAAACTCAAACATTTCTTCACTGAGATTTACAATTTATTTTACCAAATTTGAAATACAAATAAATTCAGTTCAATTTCGTTTAACCTTCATTATATTGTGTCTCAAAATGAATGTAATTCGGTTTCATTTTTTTTTTTTGGTTTTCAAAGTTACTTTTCATATGTATTTAGATATTCTGTTGTTTTTTTTTAAATTCCAATCTAGTGAAATTTACACGAAATTGTGTTTTTAATACTAACGTTTCAACAATTATATTCCGACTCAGCCAAAAATCTGAACATCAATAAACTGACCAACAAAAGTTGACCAACAAAAATTGACCACAAAATACTAAAAAAATAACGGAACAATAAACCTTACAACCAAATAAATTGATCATCAAGAAACTGACCATCAATGAACTGACATAAAAAATCTGGCAGTAAAAAAGCTGACCGCCAAACAACTGACCGCAAAAAGACTACCAAACAGCAAACCATGAAAAACTGACCACATAAAGCTGACCACATAAGGCAGACAATAACAAAAAATGAACACAAAAAGCTGACCACAAAAAGCTGACCACAGAAAACTGACCACAGAAAGCTGACTATAGAAAGCTGACCATCGCACACCAATTCTTCTTCCAGAATTCGATGACGAGCTGAACATCACGTCCAAAGAGAAACTTCTGGTCAAGCGTCTGATCAGCAGGTACCAGCGTATGGGCAAGGAGGGTCGACCAGTGGTCAACACCTCTGATGCCGTGAGAGTGGACTTTGGTCTGTCTCTCATCCAAATTTTGGACGTCGACGTCAAGGACCAGGTCCTGAAAACCAACGTCTGGTACGAATATGTAAGTATCGTGGTCTATAATATAAAGTAGTATGTATGTATCGCTGTCTACATTCTAAAGTAGTATGTAAGTATCGCTGTCTGCCTTCTAAAGTAGTATGTAAGTATCGCTGTCTATTATATAAAGTAGTATGTATGTATCGCTGTCTGCATCCTAAAGTAGTATGTATGTATCGCTGTCGGCATTCTAAAGTAGTATGTAAGTATCGCTGTCGGCATTCTAAAGTAGTATGTAAGTATCGCTGTCTATAATATAAAGTAGTATGTAAGTATCGCTGTCTGCATACTAAAGTAGTATGTAAGTATCGCTGTCTATAATATAAAGTAGTATGTAAGTATCGCTGTCTGCATACTAAAGTAGTATGTAAGTATGGCTGTCTATAATATAATGTAGTATGTATGTATCGCTGTCTGCATCCTAAAGTAGTATGTATGTATCGCTGTCGGCATTCTAAAGTAGTATGTAAGTATCGCTGTCGGCATTCTAAAGTAGTATGTAAGTATCGCTGTCTGCATCCTAAAGTAGTATGTATGTATCGCTGTCTACCATCTAAAGTCGTATGTAAGTATCGCTGTCTGCATCCTAAAGTAGTATGTATGTATCGATGTCTACAATCTATAGTAGTATGTAAGTATCGCTGTCTATAATATAAAGTAGTATGTATGTATCGCTGTCTACCATCTAAAGTCGTATGTAAGTATCGCTGTCTGCATCCTAAAGTAGTATGTATGTATCGATGTCTACAATCTAAAGTAGTATGTATGTATTGATGTCTACAATCTAAAGTAGTGTGTATTTGTATTTCTGTCCACATTATCAAGTAGTAGGCCTATGTATGAAGTTGAAGTTTAAGGCCTACTTTGTCTATATTCTCAAGTTGTATGTAAGCATTTCTGTCCACATTCTCAAGTAGTATGTAAGTATTGCTGTCCCCATTCACAAGTAGTATATAGGTATTTCTCTATACATTCTCAAATGGTATTAAGTATTTCTATCCGCATTCTTAATTAGTATGTGTTTATCTCTATATTCACAAGTAATATGTACATTTTTAGGTTTACATTCCAAGTGTATTGTAGGATTTTTTATGTGGGACGGTCATGAGATTTTGAATTGGAAACGGTAAGATAAGACTAAATTAACATAGATATAAATCCTTGTCTCAAAATGACGAAAATGAACAGCTACGTAGGGGTCGGCGTGGTCGAGTCGGTAAAGTCCATGCTACACCAAAAAGTCCCGAGTTCGAACCCTCGGGCAGATGAGGCTCATTAGCTGGGGACAGCAACTCCAAAAACTGCTGCCTTGTAGTTTGTTCTTGGTTTGACATTTTCAGTAAATCTAAAAAGAAAAGAATTGTGTTGGAGGGAGATCCCTTTCAACACTAAAATTAAGAACGAAGAAGAAGAAGAACAACAACTACGTTAACTCCAGGAGATTAGCTTTGATAAAAACAATAGTCTTGTCACATCAATCCTTGTGTTTTTGGAGCTTGAGTCAAGATTAAGCTAATCCGTAGGATTAACGATTCATGTTTTTAAAATCTCAGTTGTTTTTTAACTTAAAACCTACGTAAAATAATGGAATGAATCTTAATTTTATGGGGCTAGTATAATGGACTGTCAATATAAAAATAAATTAGGACTTCTTTTAAAAATTTATTTTTATAGAGTAATTTAAAAACTTATTAATGGACAGAATATTACGGCAAGAAGCTTATTTAAAAGAGAGAAAATGTAAAAGCCATCATAAAAATAAAAAAAAACTCCGTCGTAAACAGTCAATCACTGTCGTTACGACAAAAATATGTATCCCCATCCTGGGACAATACGTGGATAATATAAGATGGGGAAAAGTTCAGCTATCAGCCATTAAATCAGCCGATTCTTGGAGTACTAAACCATCTTTCAAGGGATCGATGTGAAAAGGTCCCAGTAACCAAAATAATCATTGAAAATACTCAGCTAAATCACTCGTGACGTTGGGTGATGGAACATTCCAGAACATCGCAGTTCTCTCCCTCTCGATCTCCCCTGATCTTTCAATACTTATTACACACAACCCCACCCACCCCTTCACTGACGTCACAATATGACGTCACAATATGACGTCACAATAACCCGCCGTGATGGGTGGTGATTGAGTTGTGATGGGTTGCGGTTGAGGAATGTTCCCCCTCCACCGGCCAACACCATCCACCGTCCAACACCCACCACCGACCAACACCCACCACCGACCAACACCCACCACCGACCAACACCCACCACCGACCAACACCCTTCACTGTATCCAAACCCTCACACCTCACCAAACCATCTCTGCTAAACTTCCTCTCAGCGTGTTCTCGCCTAAATATTTGTCCTATCACCCCCACCATCTCGCCGTCGTGTTTTCTCTCAGGTTTTGTCCAGCACGGGCAGCCAATGGCTGTCGCGTGGGGTGAGTAATTATTGTAGTCATAATTACTCTCACGCGCAGTCGTGGTGGTCACGCTCCATACTGGGATGTGCTAATGTGGCGTCGGTGGGAGCAGTGAGTTGCCCGTGTGGCGTCAGTTGTGGTGTGACGTATGAGTGTGACGCCACTTGGAACTCTGATCTGCCAATGTAGAGTCATTCACTGTGGCGTCATAAGCTGTGGTGTCATTCATTGTGGCGTCACTAGATGAGGCTTCATTAAGTTAGGCGTCACACACTTGATACAAATAGCGGTACACCAATTCCATCCACTGCCCACATTATGATTTTCGTGTCAGAGATAGTGTACGCTACACAGCACATTTACTGTAATTTGTTCAAGTATTAAATCTTATTCAAAGCATTTGGGTTTATTTGCATTTTATAAAAAAAACTTTCTTAATGTTATAACGTCTTCGTACACCGTTTATTTTTTGCAAGGTCTTACTCCATTACATACATTTTCAGGTTCGTGTGTTGATCTAAATATGGTGGAGTTTTTTTTTTACGTCACTGATCCCATCGGATTCGAACAAAAATCTCGAACGTTCTATCCCTCACACTGACGACAAAATAAGATTTAGAAGCATTAACAAGATCAGCCCATAGTCGAACCTAGTTTACAACAGCCAGATCACGAACTTGCTTACCACTACACCACCAACACGCAATGCGTGCGAGCTCATCTAAACGAAAGTACTTTATCTAACATTACTGTAACTAGTGGGAGGTCCTAGCTATTTACGCCAACAGAAACAATCAGCTAAAAAATTGCCCCCCCCCCCCCCATAACCTCCCCCCACCCTCGGGTTTTTGCTATTGTTTATCGAACACAATCAGATATTTTCTATCTGTCCGTCTGGCTATCTGCCAATTTTAGATACAGCAGATATCAAATGGCGATTTGTCACCTTGACATTCATGGGTCCCAGCTCAATAATCCAACATTTCCAGATATAAACGCAATAACACAGCTAGAGGAATAAACGTAATACAAGAACAGCTAGAGGAATAAACACAATGCCACAACAGCTATTACCCAACGTATACAACCACGTACAACCATGTATTAAATGTTTAACACAATTATGAATTTTTCTTTAAAAAATTGTATTTTTTTTCCGCCTCAGACATGTAGTTTACAGTGTTAGTTTGCCTTGCATGTTCGCTTTAGTATTACAGTTTTCATCATCGGCTTGTGAGGACTGATACAGATTTGCAATAGTAATATTTCTTTCTTACTTGTAGCCTACTTTCGTTCATTTAAGATGGTTTACTTATACATAGTTCTAATACAAAACGTCTAATTACAATTTTACTTTTTTTTTAAAAACCTGAAAATGTAAATTTGTAATAAAATTATGATGCAAGGGTTTTTTTTTAAAGCCTGGTGGGCTGAGGGGGGGGGGGGGGGCTTTTAAGTAGAGCTGAAATAAGTATGGGATTACAGAAACTTAAAATTATACAAATTTCAAACTAAAAGTTTTAATTTATTTTTTAAATGTTCACAAGATTATGAACTTGAACTATTATTTTAGTCCACATAACTTTTATTTTAAATTTTTTTTTTTAATTATATTTAATAACCATAGACCCTAATCATATTAACTGGATGCGTATTTGAGGCTCTTTAGACCTTAGTCATATTTTCTCTTTTCTTGTTTATACATAATGCTCAATTCCTCTAAGCTATATTTTAAACTCACTTTGTTTACTCAATTTTTTACCAAACTTTACTGGTTACATTTTAAACTTTTTGTATTCTTGGTTTTACATACAATTTTCATATCTTTGAATATAATTAGAATTACCTTCTTAAGGTTAATCTTTTGACGATTCTCTCCCTTTGCTAGACGTGGCAGGATGTTCTACTCCGCTGGGATGTGGAGGAGTACGACAACATCACGGATGTTCGGATACCATCATCAAATATCTGGCTACCTGACATCCTGCTATACAACTTGTAAGTTATATACTTCTATTCAATGTGTGATTTGATGTGATTTTAGATCCACTTCTGTTCAATATGTGGTTTAATGTGATTTTAGATCCACTACTTTCAAATGTGTGTGAATTATTTTATTGAATGTGTGGTTTTATGTCGTTTTAGATCCACCTTTGTTAAGTGTATTGGTTCATAAAGTTTTAGATTTAGATCTACTTTTAGAGTACGGCCACATATGTCATAATTATGTCATAAGTATGTCATAAGTACGTTATAAGTACGTCACAAGTACGTCATAAGTATGTCACACGTATGTTATAAATATGTCATTAGTATGTTATAAGTATGTTATAAATATGTCATAAGTATGTCATTAGTATGTCATAAATATGTCATTAAGTATGTCATTAGTATGTCATAAATATGTCATAAGTATGTCATTAGTATGTCATAAATATGTCATAAGTATATTATAAGTATGTCATAATCACGTCATAAATATGTCATAATCACGTCATAAATATGTCATAAGTATGTCATAAATATGTCATAAGTATGTCATTAGTATGTCGTAAATATGCCATACGTATCTCATACGCATGTCATAACTATGTCATAAATATGTCATAAGTATGTTATTAATATGTCATTAGTAATGTCATAAGTCATAAGTATGTCATAAGTTCCATGTTTGTAGCAAGCTACTTTTAACATTTTCAGGTTGTTGACACATTGTTAACAACTCTCAAGGAACAAAAACATGGCATTAAAAATCTGTTTTTCTCAACATGGATAACATTTTTAAAATAAACAATAAACGTCCTGAGTGTTGACTGAGCGATACACTAGCACTCGGACAGTAACCCCTGGACATAAACCCCTGGACATGAACCCTTGGACTTAAACCCTCTGGACAAAACCACCTTGACATAAACCCCCTTGTACGTTAACACTCTGGACATAAAAGATCTGGGCATAAACCCTTTGAACGCAAACCCCTGGACATGAACCCCTGGACTGAACCCCCAAGTATATATTTTCTACGTAACTTCGTATTTAATAAAAATTAGAAATATAGAAGTATATACTTTTTACGTAACTTCGTATGTAATAGTTATAAGATTAAATTTCAACAACCAAGAAAATAAAGTACTTGTATAATACGTATAAAACTCGGCAGTCAAGGAGCGACCTTATGTGTATCTGATCAAGATAGATGAAATAGTTCGCCACCGTGTAAAAACTCGCGAATAACAAACCTGCAACAAACACAAACGTCACATTGTTGCTTCCTCACTATTCCATTACCTTCGATGTATTTTTGTCGTCCCCTCCCTCCTCATCAGAACTATTCCATTACCTCCGATGTATTATCGTGGTCCCCTCCCTCCTCATCAAAACTATTCCATTACCTCCGATGTATTATCGTGGTCCCCTCCCTCCTCATCAAAACTATTCCATTACCTCCGATGTATTATCGTAGTCCCCTCCCTCCTCATCAAAACTATTCCATTACCTCCGATGTATTATCGTAGTCCCCTCCCTCCTCATCAAAACTATTCTATTACCTCCGATGTATTATCGTGGTCCCCTCCCTCCTCATCAAAACTATTCCATTACCTCCGATGTATTTTTGTCGTCCCCTCCCTCCTCGTTACCTCCGATGTATAAACCACCTCCCGATCTGAGGATCTATTTTTAGAAGAGAGTCCCCAGTGTTAGGGTTCCTCAAGGCTTCAATCAGGCTTAGATCTCCAAAAACATCGTCCCCTTTTCTTTTTAATCTCAGTTGTAATCGCTACAGAAAGCCAATCTCCGGCCAATGCTGCTCTATACAGTGGCCAGTCAGGAGCCTTTGCGCAGGGATATTGACATTCATCTCGGCGGCTCTAGCGGTGCGATCAGTGCAAACATGCCTAATTTTAAGATAAATAATTACCTCGGCAGGAATAATTATTTATTTCAATTGCAACATTTTTCGGCTTTTTCTTATATAAATTCAATTTTTTCCCCATTTTTTTTTCTCGTACTAGATTTCCAATTTCCGCCTTAACAAGTTTTTTTTTAACTTCGTTTCTGATTATTTTCTCTAGCAAATGATTATTTTTAGAAGGAATTTGGTGTCTTGGTATAGAGACTTCTTAGTAAATAATTACTGATGAAATAAGCTATTGCCGTTGGTTAATGAAATAATCGAAGATCAAATATCCCAACGGCCAGCTAGAGTCGTCGCCCTTGTATTAATAATGCTTTGACAGTCTGGAGAGAAGACGAGCCAGAGTTATCGATCTTTGCGAAATGGGACATCACTCGACACGGGTCCACTATGCGAGACTCACGCAACAACAAATTTTATTATCGCCCTTAGAATCGACCACTTTCTTTTGCGGGTGTTAAGGGGAGACCTCTCGGTCCCTATTGTGTCCCCCACCTCCATAAGAACCGCGTGCGAATTTAATGTCGCGCTCAATTCCACTTGGTCAAAATGACTTTTTTTTGGCTGCCGTTGTCCAAACTCAAAAGGTGAAGTTGAACAAAGTGCTTTTTTAGCCTCCCATTTGCAAAACTTAAAAGTTAAACCTAATATTTTAAAATAAAATTTTATTTATGTCATAATATAAATTGTAACCGTTGTAAATATATTTAAAATTTTAATAAAATTTTTGGATTTCGTTGAAAAAACGGAACAATATTCTTAAGTTAGTTCTATAGCAGTGGTCCCTGATGTAATGTTTGTGTCCATGAACATCCCAACTGGTGCCATTCTTAGTGGAATCTACGACTCGCTTCCAGCATGATAAACGATTTATTTTCGGGTTGAATTCTCAAAGTAGCAAGTAATAACCGGGTGGCATTCGAAGGCAAACTATTCGTCTAAATCAGTCTTGACGCAAATGGGGATTTTATGAAGTTACGTTTTGTGGTTGTTGGTGTGGTGGTGCGTGGTTTGGTGTTAGGGTAGTGGTTAGTTGGTGGTGGTTTGATATTTGGGTAGTTGTTGATGTTGCCTTGATGTTAGGATAGTGGTTGATGTTGGTTTGATGTTAGGATAGTGGTTGATGTTGACTTGATGTTAGGGCAGTGTGTGGGTGGGTGGGGGGGGGTGTTGACTTCATATTACCTCTATGGGGGGTTCAATGACTTGATGGTAAAGTAGTAGTTTTCTCGGCAAGTAGACTATGATTTGGTTTTTGTAGAATATTTTTTCAGTTTTATTAGAATATTGCTTAAGTTATGATCAACATCAAAATGTTAACTTATTTTTAATTATTAAGTGAGATAAATGTTTGATATTAGATTAACATGAAAATGTGGCATACAAATTAGAGCTTTATCTTGTGATATATACGATGATTGTAGGGAATTTTCTACTACATCTATATATAGAAAATTAGAAAATACTTTTTTTAAATACGTTCCTTAAGTTTTAGAGAGGTGTTTGTTGACAATTTGATAAGCCCATAATGAAATTCAGCACATTAAATGACACTACCACTGGAAGGAATATTTGAACAACTCAGTGGCATCAAGCGTCCAATGTTGCTGTGTTACAACATCAACCAGACCCCCGGCATAAACAAACACAGGCCCTAATCATTGACCCCTTTCTCAGCTCCCTCGTCATCTGGTTTACGTCACACGTCACTTCCGGATATAATTACAACAAAAACATGACGTCACCAGCACCAAGGGTATTATCCCGTGCGCTTCAATGTGAAAACAAATGTGTTCACGTTTAGCTTCCTAGGCGGGTAGCGCTCTCGATGTGTATCGTTTGGGGGGCGAGATTCGCCGAGAATAAGTACCATGATTTGTGACGAAATAGTCGTAAGGGCAGTTCGGGTATGCTAATGAGCCGTGCTAGACCTTGGGCTACAAGAGAGAGGCATATAATTCCGAGGTTTCTCGTTATAATCCCGAGGTTTCTCGTGTTGGGTACGTTTAACAGCAATGCGAGATTTATGTTCCTCGGCCACGTGACCTACCGGGGCTGGAATCGTGTGTCTGGCAGTGATGCCAGAAAATGATTGGATAGTTCTGGAAGACCTAGTTACCCCAATAAAACCAGGACTGGACAGAGTCCGACTGTTACTGGCAGAAAACAAAAGACTTCAACGAGTCAAACTGTCTGCTAATTGTATGCCGCGGTTGATTTTAGTAAACGTATTTTTAATGACGAGGTTCCCAGACTTATGAATACATTTTAGGTTGTAAAATATAACCACCTTTCTTCTATTGTAACCGTTAGTTAAATCTTCAACCCGTTTTGTTTTTCTTTTCCGTATAATTCCAGTTATAGAGTTTGATTTGATTGAGATAGAAAACCATTTCCCCATCGACCATCGGGGCTGGAAAAAAAATTAACTCACTTTCAGTGCAAGAAGTTCCTGGTTTTACCGGCCGCTCCTATATTTTTTCCCCATTATTTTCTCCATCTAAGAACATTTTTTTTTCTATCAATCGGTTATTCATTTCAGCCGGGATTTTTTCTAACTTTCTTAAAATATCTATTTTAATTTTCAACAGTCTATCCCCATTTTTGTGAGAAAGTTTATTTCCGTCTTGAACCGGTTATTCCTCCGGTTTAAGCCCGGCTAGCTCCCCCTCCCCTCCCCTTCTCATATCAATCAACTATTAGTCCCCTAGTTTACCCCCACTGCATCTATCCCAGCAACACATCATATATTTCTGTTCACTTCCTGTTTCGTTTCATCACTTCCTGCTTCCCTAATCCCCTCCCTACTCCCCCTCCCCACCGTCTCCCGTCCTTATGATTGGACCAAGAGTTCACACAAAACGATCGTGTTTTATGAAGGACTCGGCAATCCCCGGGGACGGGTAGAAAGATTATGTCCTCCCCGGGACTCGCTCTTTTCAAAATGGCCAAGTGTGTCTGGGATAATGGTTGGTAAGACGGGGGGAGGGGGGGCGACGGGAACCCGGTACCGTGGGGATTGATGCTTGAATTACCAAAGAGCTTAGGCCAACGATTGGCCGTATTATCGTGCTCTAATAGA